TATAGATAATGAAGTGTTTTTTAAAGTGGGTATAGGTTTTATAGTTAGGTTAAGTCTTACAAAGTGAGAGTTAAGTTTTTTAAAGTGGGTATAGGCTTTATAGTTCGGTTAAGTCTTACAAAGTGAGAGTTGAGTTTTTTAAAGTGAACTTAAGTTTTGTAAAGTGAAAAAAAATGAGATTTGGTCTTGTAAAGTGAAGTTGGGTTTTGAAGCGATGTGGGGTTGGGTTTTGTAAAGTAAGTTTAGGTTTTGCAAAGTAACATTAGGTTTTGTGAAGCTAAAATTTGTTTAGAAAGTGAGGTTAGGTTTTGTAGAGAGTGAGGCTAGTTTTTGTAGAAAATGAGGTTGGGTTTTATTGAGATTTGTAAAGTGAAGTTACTTTTTGTGAAATGGGGTTGGATTCAGTTAAGTGACGTTAGGTTTTATAGGAAGTGTGGTTGGGTTGTGCAGAAAGTGAGGATGGTTTTTGAATTGAATTGAAACAGTTTATTTAGCCAGAAAAACACAGATACAGAGTGGATAATAATTACAATATTAACATGGCTGAGCCAGTTGCGAACCTGATCTCTCCTGTAGGCATCTGACATATACTGTACTGTACATTTATCTCAAGGAAGTATTATGTAACATTTAATATCATCTGGAATAGTACACATTGCATGGTGGTAATAAGAACATCTCAGAATGTTACCACGGTTATCACTTCAATATTTATTTTTTTTATTTTTTTTACATTTATATTATAAGTATTATACATAAGCTACAGTGGAATTGAAAAATATAAATATAATGGGGAAGCAGTACAACATGGGTTGTACAGTATTAAGGTTGAACAAGAGGACAGAGCTGTCAGGATTTTTTTTTTTTTTTTTACGGGGATTAGCCCACCCAGGCACAGGTCACTGACCCACATCGGGGCGTGGGGGGCGAAAATGTAATAATAATAATAGTAATAACAACAACAATAATAATAATAATAATAATAATAATAATAATAATAATAATAATAATAATTCATAGTAAATAAATTTTATAATAAAAAATAAAAAAATAAAATAAAATAATAAAATAATAATGCTAATAATAATAACAACACTGTAATAATAATAATAATAATAATAATAATAATAATAATAATAATAATAATAAAGAACCATAAAAAATACTAAAATGAAAAAAGATCAAGAGTGAAAAACAATATATGTATGTTGTGTTGTCAAGAGTAGAGAAACAATTGAGACCCTGCAATTGTGTGTAAATGAGGCAGAATGTCAGATCAGCAACCTGGGACTTGGTCACAATTTTCGTGATGCCATATGGCAGCAGGGTCTACCATTAGACAACACATTATGCTTCCAATATCTTCCCAGGTGGTAGTACCTCCCTGTTTGGCAGCCGCCTACCAAATATATTTATTGCAATGATAATTTCTTATCTATTTACATGATAATTTCCGATAAAACGGTTTTGATGGTACAATAAGAGCCTAAATATATTTATTGCAATGATAATTTCTTATCTATTTACATGATAATTTCCGATAAAACGGTTTTGATGGTACAATAAGAGCAGGTATATATAGTAGGTATAACAAGAAATATCAAAACTTAGACAAAAGACATTTTTTTACTTTTTTACTTTTATCCTCTTCACCACTGATTGGCTCGTTTAGCCGCTTGGGCGATTGGTCACGTCTCTGTTACGCAATGTTGGCAAGTACTGGGCATGCACCGGCTCCTGAATGTTTCTGAACCCGTTCCAGTGTTGGTCAAGTCTTGTCTTGAAAGAGCTCACACTTGGTACTGTCACAACATTTTCTGGTAGATTGTTCAAAGAGTTCACAACTCTCACTCCGAAAAAGTTTGCCCAAACAGTTTTCTGGACTTGCGGCTTCTTCAATCTTGAGCTGTGACCCCTTGTGGGGCGAGCATCCTCCAGCTCCAAGTAAGGACACTCGACTGAGTAGTGCCCCTTGAGATGCTTATACACCTCTATTAGGTCACCCCTTGCCCGTCTGTAGTATAAGCTAGGCAAGTTCAGGCACTCCAATCTCTCAGGGTAGCTGAGGTGCCGAAGGGCAGGCATCAGTCTGGTGGCCCTCCTTTGAACATTTTCAACCAACTGACAGTCCCTAGCATATCTGGGGACGAAACGGGGTGACAGTACTCCAGATGGGGAAGCACTTCACTCTTGAAGATCGTTACGAGGGACGGACCGTCTAGATATCTGAACGACCTTCTTATAAGACCCAATAATTTATTTGCCTGATTTACCTTCTCGCAATGGCCCGAGAACTTCAACTCATTGTCAACATACACACCTAGGTCCTTCTCACATTCAGTCTCAAATAGTGCAGTTTCTTCATCCCGTTGGGACATATGATACGCCTCCTTACCGTTGGTACGCCCCAGGTGCATCCTCTTACTCTTCGTGACATTGAATCTCAGCAGTCATTTCTTTGACCATTCTTGGAGCCCACAGAGGTCCTTCTGCAGCTCTTCACAGTCCACTTGGTTCTTGATTACCCGAAATAACTTGGCGTCATCGGCAAACATTTATATGGAGGAGTGTACAACGTCAGGCATGTCATTTATGAAACAAACAAACAACAGCAGACCCAATACACTGCCCTGTGGTACCCCTTCTTGTGACAGGTATGGATGATGATTTTGTGCCATTAATCGCCACACACTGCTTGCGGTCACGTAGAAAGTCTTCTATCCACGCTAGGACATTTCCCCGAATTCCGTACCCTTCCAGTTTGATTTTCAGCCTTTCGTGGGGGTACACTGTCGAAAGCCTTGGCAAAATCTAGGTAAATAATGTCGATATTACCACCCCATTCCAGAAGAGATGATTTAAAGGAAGGGAGCGTAGTCTTTGCTCGGATGGGTGGGGGTAAGTTGTTCCACACCTTCACACCATGATATTTTATGGAGGTCTGGGACTGAGAGGAGCGCATGGGGGGTTTTGAAGAGTGAGGTTGGATTTTGTAGGTGAGGATGAGTTTTGTAGAAAGTGAGGTTGGTTTTGTAGGTGAGATTAGGTTTGTAGAAAGTGAGGTTGGGTTTTGTAGGTGAGGTTAGGTTTTGAAGAAAGGGAGGTTGGGTTTTGTAGAAACTGAGGTTGAGTTTTGTAGAAAATGAGGTTGGGTTTTGTAGAAGGTGAGGTTAGGTTTTGTAGAAAGTGAGTTTGGGTTTTGTAGAAAATGAGGTTGGGTTTTGTAGAAAGTGAGGTTGGGTTTTGTAAAGTGAGGTTTGGTTTTGTAAAGTGAGTTTTGTAAAAACTTGGTTGGGTTTTGTAGAAACTAAAATTGGGTTTTAGAGAACATAAGGTTGGGTTTTGTAGAAAGTGAGGTTGAGTTTTGTAGAAAATGAGGTTGGTTTTGTAGGTGAGGTTGAGTTTTGTAGAAAATGAGGTTGGGTCTTGTAGGTGAGGGTGGATTTTGCAGAAAGTGAGGTTGGGTTTTGTAGAAAATGAGGTTGGGTTTTGTAGAAAGTGAGGTTGAGTTTTGTAGAAAATGAGGTTGGGTTTTGTAGAAAGTGGGTTTGAGTTTTGTAGAAAATGAGGTTGGGTTTTGTAGAAAGTGAGGTTGAATTTTGTAGGTTAGTTTGGGTTTTGTAGAAGGTGAGGTTGGGTTTTGTAGAAAGTGAGGTTGGGTTTTGCAGAAAGTAAGGTTGGGTTTTGTTATAAAGAGATAATCTGTTTTGTAAAGTGAGATTGGGTTTTGTACAGAGGATGTTTTGTAAAAAAAAATGAGGTTAGGCTTTATAAAGGAGGGTTGAGATTTGGAAAGCGAGCTTAGATTTTTATAGAGGTTGAGTTTCATAGAGTAAGGTTTGTTCTTTATTGAATGTAAGGTTGGGTTTTGTAGAAAGTGAGGTTGGGTCTTGTAAAAAAATTTGGGTTTGTTAGGTTTAGTTAGATATACAAAAAAAAATTAGTTCCTTGACTGATCTTACTTTCCTACCATCTATTCTATTATTTTTTGTGCTAAATAAGTAATTGAAGAAAATTGTTGCTGCATATGCTAAAGCTTAAACAAAATAAATTGTAATTCAACTAAGTTTACATACTGTATAATGCAACACAGTGCCTCAATTCCTATTTGTTATTGATATTTATTGTTGACATCTGCACTTAAGGACCTTAGATGTTGAATTGAAGTGCAGTACAGTGTTACACTATGAGTATAACATCAAAGACCTTAGATAATGAGACTATATAATTCATAATAACTTCTTCATCAGGTCTATGCTTGGATACCTTACAATCTTAGATGTTGAAGCACAGTACAGTAATACATTGTAACAACATCAATATTAAATGTTCGCTTTAAGTACTCTATATGTTGAAGCACAGTAGTAATACATTATTGCACCAAGTAAATGTCTTTCTTACACTGTATTTGGTTGTTGTTGATGACCAGTGTAGGTAGCAGGTAGTAGGCAGCTATCAAACAGGGAGGGAGGTACTGTACTACCACCTGAGAAGATATTGGAAACATAAATGCATTGTCTGATGGTAGAACCAGCTGCCATATGGCAACACAAAAATTGTGACCAATTCCCAGGTTGTTGATCTGATTTCCTGCCTCATTTACACACAATTGCAGGGTTTCAATTGTTTCTCTTACTTTGAAAACACAACATACACACATAGATTGTTTCTCACTATTGTGTGTATGTGTGTGTGTTTCTGTGTAATGTTTGTGTGTGTGTGGGTGGGTAGTGTGATTTGTATGTGTGTGTGTGCGTGCTTGTGTAGTAGGTGTGTGCATGTGACGAAGTGTATGTGTGTGCAATGTGCATATACGATACAGTACTGTATATGTGTGTGTATTTATGGTATATATGTGTGTATGCATGTGTGGTGCATGTGTGTGTGTGTGTATGTGATATATGTTGTGTTCAAAACAAAATTGAATTTCTAATTCAGAAAAAAAAGACATTGAAATGTATTCATATAACTTTAAAATTGTTAGGATTATTGAAAGTTAGTTTCAAATTAAAGCCTTTATTTTGAGAGAGAGGTACACCTTGGATGTCATGGGAGTACAATGGTATATGCTATAGAGCAGCTGGCAGGAGTTGTGACACATCAAACAAAGCACCTAATAAACTGGCAGGACACCCTCAGTTCGGTCGTGATTTGATAAAACTTTGAGGTTAGAATTACTGAAATTACTGTAAACATTACGTTGTTAATCTCAAAAGCATTTTGAAAATTTAGTATTTTATTATAAACTTAAGAAAATCGTCAAGAAGTAAAGAATTGACAATGTCATCATATAAATGGAAATGGCACTTTTAGTGATACAATCTTTTCACAGTACAGTATATGGGGATGTTAATAAATGAATTAGTTCATCAGTTTTACCACATTTGAACACATGATGACAATAAAACTGCTTCACATGTTTAAAGAACAAAGGCTGACGACAGTAAAAACTATCAAATTGTATATATTCGGTCAGCCAACAAGTACATCAGTACAGCACAGGGTACAAATAGGTCAACCAAAGTCAGACTGTGCTATGTTCATACCACATGGTAGTGACATCTCAACACACAATTTACCTAGATGGTGATGACACATCACTAAATAAGTAGACCTCTGGAACCGATAACTATATCAACATATATCAATTGTGTTGTAATATTTATTAGCTGGTGGACCATTTAAGAATGATATTTTAATAGGAGGAAGAATAAATGGCATTTATAGCTTATAACCAGCAAGTAGACCATGTGGTACTAACAAGTGAATGATAAGCAGGCAGACCAGGTGGGTGCTACTGATTGATTAGCTAGTATACATAGAACATGCAGTATTATCAGTGTAACTAACACGTAGGTCATGTGGTTTCAATAATATATTAATATTCCAGTGCAATTGGTTACTTTGCCATCCAAATTAACTTCCAGTTATTAAAAAAAATATTAAATAAATAAATAAGAAATAAAAATTAATAACTTATGCACATTTAAGCCAAAAAATAATAAACATGAAGTATGGGTTTATTTAGAATTCAGCTGTACTTGTAAAGGTCAGTAAATATCCATGCATTGATGTGACAAAAGTTATCAACATATGTACAGTACATGAGCTGATGCTGATCCTTTGGAATCAGAATTATGAAACAGAAACATACACATATTTACAATGTTAAAAATATTTTATTTTATTTATGTAACTCCAATAAAATAAATAGTACAGTACTTGATTATTCCTCTCAAAATCTACAAAAGGAAATTAAGATTAGTCAAAAGTGTGAGCAATGAAGATATAAAATCTAATAAAAATTCTGCTGTGAAACTTGAATATCCTTGTAGTAAATATTAAATAATAGCTAATGATATACCTGTACACTAATGTTAAACAAATAAGGATAATGTGGGTGAAAAATCAGACAGCTATTAATGGATACTGTATTTTTAATAAAATTTTACTCTCCAAAACATGCTAAAATTTCCATAACTAATATACAAAATATACAAAATTAACATTTTCACACAACTGTTTCTCTCTTCCACTCACTAGACCTGTGACTAAATTAGTGATACAGTACTTTTAATAAAAAAAAAGAAGACATACTGTAATAGTATTAGGTTATTGAAAGATAAAGCATTCTAAGTTATAAAAATTATCTATAAGTGAATTGTCAGCATTTTCTTATTTGTTTTATCTGTGACAGATATACCATCATGGCTGATAGTTTCCTGTACATGAACATTTAAAAAGTGACAACTAATATCAGGTGAATATATAAAAGCTAAGGTGTTTTTATCACTGAGCTAAGAAACCAATGTTTGAGTTAGCACGAGGGTACATCAATCCGCATTATGAGAGGGCATATGGACAAAATATGTAGCTCTTCTTCTTCCCAAGTCTCTTAGATCTTACAAACCAATGAATCAAAATATGATTCAGAGCAAGACCTCAAAATAACCCACTCCATTATTGTTAAAAGAATGAATCAACTGAACCAATTGAGATTTGGAGTGACAAGAGCTAGCTACTTAGTTTATGCTCTGGCTAAACAACTATATACAAGGCTTGAAATTTAACAATAATCTTCTGAAACATTTAATAAAAACCTTTGTTATGCTTGTCACTAACTTGACTTTTTGTATTTCATTTCAATACAAGCCAGAGCGGAAAAAATCATCTTGATGCATATGGGTTTGAGAGCAATTCTCAGATACCAGTCTGTACCTGCTGTCAAGACTGACATGTGCACTCTAGCTATAAATTTTCTTCAAATATTACATAGTTATCACTTTAGTTTCAGTTCTTGAAACACTTAACTCCGTTTCATTCACACATCTAAAAGTTCAATTGCTGCTAAACTTTGTCAGTTGGAAGAAAAAATTTCTTAAATGGCAATTTGCTTTACCATCCTAAGTTCAAAGACAATTTTCATGTCCCTCTGAACATAGAGAGCATAAGAAGAAAGGCAAGAATATTACTATTAAATTTATTTAAGATTCATCATGATTCTGTATTCTTGTGAGATTCTAAAGATGTTTTCTCTTCTTCCTGTAGACTTGTAGGCTCAACAGGTTCTTGATCTTGTGATGTACTTTGTTCTTCACACTTGGGTGAATCTTTTTCAGTCTGTGTGCCAGCATCAACAGCAGAAGTTGCAGGCTGGAGGGAACCAGAAAGGCTGGCAATGTTGAGCATTTCCCTTAAACCCTGTTGAAAGAATTTTTTGTTTAGATGATTGATCCATTTGTGTGCATTATCATCACTGTATTCAGAAATTCACTTTTACTCTGATATGTTAATAATCCATAATAACCAGTTTTAAACAAAATATCTATTTATGTAACTGTTTGAAATTTCACACTAATCACATCATTTAACTGTGACAACCTTTACTTACACACACAAACACGCATAAAAAAAATTTTTAATTAAAAATCTTTTTTGCCCATCATGTTCTTTACCTGAATAATGTTTAGGTTTACAAACATTCAGTCCAAGGCTAAATTCATGAGTACCAGTGTGAAAAGAATGAAGATTTATCCAACAGATGTTGACTTATGAACTTTAGAAACATTAGGAGAGAGAGAAAGCAAATAATCATGAACAGAATACATCTGACAATAGAAAGAAAGAGAAAATGGACTGAGAATGATTGTTTGGGGTTCAAATTTTTTTCTCACTCTTGCAAGCATATTTCTCCATGGTAAAATGTGGATAAAAACAAGAGCAACACAAGACTCCCACCATTTACCATCATTCAGTTTTTTTTACCACTGTAACATACAAATATAGGGTCCCACTGAATGAGTAACCAATGTACGAAAATTGACCTAAACTGCACTTTTTCGGAAATGCATATCGCTTAAAAAGTGAGACTACATGTATTTGTGTGTTCTGCTATCGTGTTCACCTTTCACAATACACCTCAATGATTTTTTACTAGATTTTGTCTCTTACTTATTATAATTCATCATCCAACGCTCAGTAGCAAAGTTCAGCCTCAAATATTACTAGATAGATGATGTGCTTTCTGATCATACGTGCACACCAATGCTTCCAGGTTATCCTTCCTCTCTAGTCCAGTAATTTTCCCCTCTCCTACAACTCAGTTCTGCATTAAACACACTTTTTACCAAACTTTCATTCCTTATTTTCTCAATATGTTTACACAACCTTATCAAACCCTGATCACCTCTCTCTCTCTCAACAAACCTTACTTTATAATCTTTATATCAAATTCATCTGGCATATTATTCAGCCCAAAATGTTTAACTTATATCTTTTTATAATATTCAAAATCCATAATTCAAATCCATATAGTAATATTGGCTCAATAATGCCCCTATACTGTACAGTAAACCCTCTTCTAAAAGGGCTGTGCAATGAAACAAAAAAGTTCAAGTCCAAGAACCTTGAGATCATCCATTACAAAAATTCTTACCACTTACATATAATATAGTGCTACAGTACAGTGTATAGGCCTTGTATAGTATCGACTCCCCCAAAAATACTCGTCAAAAGATCAATAATTTATTAACGTCTTTCTTTGACACTCCCTGCTGCTGCTTACCACTTATTCCTGTTTCACTATTTGTTGTATACAGTAGTAAATTACTAATCAATGCACAGAATCAGATATAACTAGCATAAAAGAGTACATTCTGATGTTCAAATGTGACATAAGGAATGAGCCAGCAATTTACCTCAGTTTAATTTTTTTTCTTGTTTTTGTCAAGAGAGAGAGGGAACAGACTTGCAGAGGTCAACTCCTTTAGCAAGTTAGTCCAGAGCATTATGTCAAAGACTCTACAATCACAACCATCAAAAGGGATGCAAACAAATACAAATTATCATTCTAGTTATTGACACAAACTAACAATGTGTGTTATGTACCTCAAGTCTTTTTACTTTGTTTTCTTTATAAACACTGTGCTATAGCGTCATGGTAGATGAAGGTTTTGAGATGTTCATGCCATATTCTGTGGCAAAATCTTGTCTAGGACAATCAGTGGCTGAGGAGAGTTGCAAAAAAAAATATATTTGCTTATACAATATGTATGAATTCACAATTTTGTGTTGTACTTTGTTTACAAGTGTGAGTCATATTTCTCTGTAATATGGATTACCTTATTCTCAGTAGCCAACGCTGTGATGAGTCTCTGCTGCTGTTGACTTTCATCATCTCCGAGTGATGCAGCTTTCCTCATCACTGCCACCATTTCACTTATTCTCTCTATTTGTGCTGCAAGCTGAAGTATGGGGAAATTATTAAGCATTATTACCCTTGAGGCTGGTGGTCGCAGCCTATGGTGAGACATGCGTCATATTTATTCGTAAATGTCTTTCATAATCTGAAATTTTACCCAATATTGTATTACAAAAGTTTTAATATATATTTTATAACAGCAAAATATTACAAATATCTTTTTAAACCATTAACCCTTAAGCCCCGGGTTAGGGTGATGCTGGCAGTAACAACACCCATCCCCCACATGGGGATAAACCGATAAAAAATAAACTTTTCCCAAATTAATTACCGTCAACCCTCACTTTACGCGGTTAATTCAACCCACGGCGGCCCGCATAAAGTGAGAAACGCGTAAAGTGAACAACATAACATATGGGATTAATTGAAATAGAGACCGGGCCGACCCCCAAACTCCACTTTTTGACGACACACAACTATGTTGTAGTAAAAATATTATCTTAACTTTATGATGGTATGCACACAAAATTAATATAGAAGAGGTTAGGTTAGGAAAAATAAAGGTTAAGTTAGGAAAAATAAAGGTTGGGGTTAACACTTACGCTAGTAGAAGAGATGGGTCGGCGTACGGGAATGGAGGCTGGTTCCGAGGCAGAGGGCAGGCTACTGGCCCTCAGGTGAGTCACCATCACTGTCATCCACACTTGTCAGGGCCTCCCTGACAAATCCCTCAAAGTCATCATCACTGTCCCTACCTCTGTCACTATCACTGGCTTGGGCTGGCTGTGGTGGGTTGCGGGCGAAGAGCTCTGTTATGCTTTGCTGACGGCTGGTGTTTATGTTGTCGTGATAAACCTTGATGTAGGGCTCCATAGTCTGCAACAGCTGGGTAGTGAAGATTTCATACCTGTTTGCGTCAGGGTCGTCGGAAAGGAGGAGCTTGACTTTCTCGATACACTCGATGGCACCCCTAACATTGCTATGGGATAAGCGGTGTTCTTCTTGGGATGACGCACCACCTGCCTCTTCACTGACGTCATCATCATCTACCATCTCGTCGGTAGTCACATCAGGATCCCTTATCACCTCCAGGATGTCGTCGTTGGTGGTCTCGGAGAAGCCTGCAGCTGTAACACTCTGCGCAGCTTCTCTGGCAAGGTCCACTGCTACTGCAACAGTCTGAACCTCACCAGTTACAGATTGACTCTGCCTAACGGCCGGAATGCCTTGCAACACATATCTCCATGCGTGACGAACAGTTGCTACAGACAGCTGATCCCATGCCTCCACCAAGAAGTCCACAGCTTTCTTGATGTTGAATATTCTCCAGAATTGTTTTAAAAGTACTTGTTGCTCTGCCAACTGTTGATCCTCGTCGTCTTCGCTCTTGCTATCGTTGGTGGTGTCACTCAGGTTACGCAACTCTTCCCTGGTGTTGGTGTAGTCGTTCAGGAGCTTGAATTTTTTAGTAGAGAATGCAGCTTTTACATTACAGATTAACTCTTGGTCCATGGGCTGTAATATAGACGTAGTGTTGGGAGGAAGGAAGACCACTTTAACGTTGGGGTGACGATCTAACAGTAGGGGCGAGTGTCCTGGTGCGTTGTCAAGCAGCAACAAAATCTTGAATGGCACATTCTGTTGCTCACAGAATTTCTTCACATCGGGAACGAAACAGTCATCAAACCAGGAGAGGGACAGTGTAGAGAACATCCACGCCTTACGTGCGGTCAGCCAGTGGACATTTAGCTTGGTCATGTCCATGCTCTTGTAGGCGTGCGGCTTGCGTGCTGTGTGGATCACCGATAACTTGAGCTTACAGGTACCGGAGGCATTGGTGGTAAACAGGACGGTGATGCGCTCCTTCTGCAACTTCCAGCCCCGAATCTTGCTGGCATTCTTCATAACGAAGGTCTTGGAAGGTAGCTTTTTCCAAAAAAGACCAGATTCGTGCATGTTAAACACCTGGTCGTCGGTGTACTGTCCTTCCTCCATAATCTCACGTAAAAACGGAGGAAATTCCCTAGCCGCAACACGGTCAGCACTAGCTTCTTCACCACCATTGTTGATATTGGTGATCTTGTTCCTCTTCTTAAACCTCTGTAACCACCCAGAGGAAGCATTAAAGGGTTTGGGCTCTGTAATTCCTATCTTTCGTGACACTGCAGCATACAGTTCACGTGCGTACTCCTTAACAGAGCCCGTGTCCACCGCCATGTTCCGTCGCGCCTGATGCACCAAGTAGCTCACAAGTAATTTTTCCGTCTTGAGAAGCACCTGGTTGTGGAAATACTTGATCATAGAAGCACCTGTAGACTTTGTGATGTTCATGTGCTCCTTTATCTTGGCTGCATCCTTCTTAATTGTCCTGATCGTAGACTCGTTAACACCATGCTGGCGCGCGAGATCAACCTGTCTTGTTCCTTTCTCCAACTCTTGTATGATCTTATACTTAATTTCTTAGCTTAAGGAACGTCGTGTCTTCTTTGGCTTAGGGCGGCTGGGTCCAGGTACGGAAAGGTTTCTCTCTGGGGACGGTGGTCCAGCGGAAGCCATTTTACAGAACAATGGATGCACGATTACACGGTGTGGCCTGGAGGGATGAAACTGCCGCGGCTAGGTCAAGCGTCGTCTTTCCTCCCTCCCTCCCTCCCTCCCGCGGGTGGACACGTCATATCACTTTAAAACAATCACAGCTAGCAGCGGAGGGAGGTAAGGATGCATGGCCCAATTACAGTCCGATACGTCATATGACGTCACTGATAACGCAACAAAGACACACACTGCGCAACCTACTCGCGCCGCTTACACAACATGGCGGATGGCGGGAGAGGGCGGGAGAGATGGCGGGAGGTTTGGATCCAAAAATGGCGCGGCGCGAGATGACCGCCAGCCGCTCTCCGGGTAAAGGGGTACACGCACCGCGGAATGTGAGCATTCCGGTTTCAGCAGGGTACCGCGTAAACGTGGAATGTGGGACCGCGTAAAGTGAGGGTTGACTGTATAAAAAAAAAAGTGGCGAAAACAGGCGGACGTTTAGGAACGTCACCCGGGGCACGCTGGTCAGACGTTCTGGAATGTCATCCGGGGCCTAAGGGTTAAACAATTATGTTTTAAAAATGTTTTCCGTGCCAACAAGAAAACCAAACATGTTTTTAAGTTTGTATTTGTGAATATCTGTGCACATACACCCAGTCCTCGCTTAACATTGTTAACGTTGCCAATCTTTAGATACCCAAAATCCCGACAACGTTGTTTTACGACCCAACCGATTCGTCATAACGTCACCCAACACAGACTACTTTGTATGACGCGCCACCCTCTCTCATCTTGGCACGCTACGCTCTCTTGCGGAGCATCACAGCGTCCCCAAGCATTTTCTCCCCAGTCTTTGTTAAGCTTCCACAGCGTAGGTGAGTGCTTAAAGGTTTTTGCTATAAATGCTGCACTATAACCATTCAAAATGGTTAGTGTTAGTGATGCTAGTGAGGAAGAGCAAACAGCAGCCAAGGGGGAACCCCAGTCAGAGTGGGAAGGGGAGCCCCCTCCTGGTCTCAGTGACTCACCACCCTCCTCCTCCTCTCCACTACCCACCACACACTTGCTCCACCTCTGCCCATCAGTCAGTACAATACAAAATGATTGTATTATCTTATTAATTAAACATCAATTTAGTTCAATTATCTTTTGGGATGTATAATATATATTTTCTATAAAATTCCATTGAATTTATGTATACTGTATATGTAATGTATTTTATGGGGCAAAGGGAAGCTGGGGAACGTAACTAGCGTATTTTATCTCTTTCTTATGGGGAAAATTTGATTCAGTTAACGTTGTGTTTTACAAGAACGTAACCACGACGTTAAGCGAGGACCTCTAAAATTCAAGCTGATTGAGACCGAACCTCTTTTGATTTTTTAAATTATGGAATAAACTAACATATTATGTGTATACCGTATTTTTCGGCTTAGAAGACACTGCATCGTGGAAGGCGCACCCTGATTTTGGAAATGAAATTCTTATTTTTTTTTTCAGGTATTAGCCCACCTGGGCACAGGTCACTGACCCACATTAGGGCCTAGGGGGCGAAAATGTAATAATAAGAGGGCGTAGTAATAATAATAATAATAATAATAATAATAATAAAAATAATAATAATAATAAAAATAATAATAATAATAATAATAATAATAATAATAATAATAATAAATACAAAAATGAAAAAAAAATCAAGAGTGAGAAACAATATACAGTATGTATGTTGTGTTGTCAAAGTAAGAGAAACAATTGAGACCCTGCAATTGTGTGTAAATGTGGCAGAAAGTCGGATGAGCAACCTGGGACTTGGTCACAATTTTCGTGATGCCATATGGCAGCAGGGTCTACCAATATCTTCCCAGCCAGTAGTACCCGGTACCTCCCTACTACTGACACCAGTGAAACCGTTGCTTGATATACAGCCCTTTTGGCACAAGTACACACACCTCTTTGAATATCATCACTTAAGAACTGCTTATCAGTCGTTCATTTTCATCAATTTAAAAAAAAATCTGTATAAGAAGGTGAAATCTTTAATACAGTGCTCATTTTATACACCTGGTCACCTCCACATCTTAGGGGCTGTAGTGTTTACATTCTTTCTCTTGTTTTTGTCGGTATGACAACGATGGGAAATATTTTCCAACGGTAGAAGGTAAGCAAATGTAAACATGTATATCAACGTCTATATAAAACAGAAAATCTTTATTTAAAAACAAAATAAATGTAAAAAAAACAACGTGTTTTTTGCAAAACCAGTGACTGATTGGTTCTACATAATTATAAAACTGAAGAAAATAAGTCCTCCATTGTAGCTGTATTAAAATTAATGTAGAAAAATTAGTATGGTTGTTTTAAGTAATGTTATTTAATGTTAATAAATGGAACAATGGAAGTAGCTAACAATTAAGGGTAAAAAAAAAAGTGAGATCGCGTATGTAAGTGAGCACATGTGTAAACATATCATCATTACTCTACATAAGAATATGAAAGCAACACTTATTTACTGTTCATATATGTTTTAATTAATGTTTCTGAATTTCTTTTTGATTGAATTATTGTTTATGTGTGCAAATTGAACAATACAATTCATTAATAATACGAAAAATATTAAAACACATGGAGACAAGACGTCATTATTTTTGTTGTTTACAAAACCAGTGACTGATTGGTTCTACATATAAAACTAAAGAAAATAAGACCCTGGTTGTAGCTGTAGTAAAATTAGTATGGTTGTTTTAAGTAATGTTATTTAATGTTAATAAATGGAACAATGGAAGTAGCTAAAAATAAAGGGTAAAAAAAAAGAGAGATCACGTATGTAAGTGAACACATGTGTAAACATATCATCATTACTCTACATAAGAATATGAAAGCAACACTAAATTACTGTTCATATATATTTTAATTAATGTTTCTGAATTAAAAAAAAATATCTACCCACCAGTGGTAATAAAGTTGAAAACATAATGACAGCCAATGTTGTTGTGTGTGTGTGTTTTTACTTGGATGACGGTGTATTTAAATTTGGAAGATTTTACAGTCTAAATGGGAATCCAAATATGAGAGCCTACTGTAAATAGGTGTCCAAATATGAGAGCCTACATATAAAGAAACAAACATTCCTGCATTTGAGACCAGCAGACAACCTTTAGCAATTCCTCAATAGATGGCGCTGCCGCACCACTGCCATTAGTAAACAAACCACACAGCAGCAAGGGTTTATTTTTATTTTTTTGCAATATATCAACAATATTAGTTAAATCAATAGTTTTATAGTACTGTATAGAGAATACTTGTAATTGTTAAGTACTGTAATGAGGTAACAGTCTTTGTAAGGGGCTGATTTCAAAAACCTCTGCTACAACTCATCGACTAGCATCCTGGAAGACGCATGGTAATTTTCGAGGTATATTTTTGTCATAAAAAGTGCGTCTTTTAAGCCAAAAAATAAGGTACCCACTAAAAAATTATTCGGCACCCGTGTCATATTGTATCACGCCATAAGGGTGCCGAATAATTTTGTAGTGGGTGTACAATGTACTTTATATAACTGTACTGTATATTATGTGTACAACAGAAAATTTACCAACTTAAATAAACAAAGATAATAATTAATGCAGTGTATAAATACACTATACTGTATAATACACTACTGTACTGTAACAGACACAAGCATTGGAAAAAAATAATAATAATAGACAAAAGAAAAAATATGAGTAGTACAATAATGTAATGTGCAGGTGTACTGTACTTGTGCAATATTGGAATTACAGTACACACAAAGAAATTTCCAAGTTTTGGAATTTAAAGTCCCAGCCAGAAATCATCTGAATTTTATAGCTTTCCGATCTTTAGAATTTCAAGTATTCAGAGGTCCATCCGTATACACTACCCTGTATTCCATACAGTAATGCAAGCAAGTAATTGCCAATCCTTAAGTTTTTCCACCAATCCAACTCACTGATACTAATAAACTCACCTTAGCCTGTTCCTGAGTGTTGGGTTGCATCTGTTTTGAGTTAACTGTCACTAATTTAGCTACCTGTTGCCGGTATTTGGACATTATCAATTCCATAACATTCTGGTGTTCTTCAAGCGCTAGTCGTAATTCTTTATTTTCCTGCAAAAAGAAAATCATGTAGCATTTTTCTTCATATCATCCAACACTTGACAGCAAAAGTATCAAAACTTTAATTGTACGGGTAATTTCAACAAGTAGGACAGGAAGAGATCAGACAAGTGTTACTGTCAAATCTATTTACCAAGGTAAACTGATGGAAGTTATATGACACAGGAATGCACCCAACAGCAGGATATTACAAAAAGTGTTAGTTCAGGGTATAAATGAATTTTGGTTGGCAGCTTTGTGTGAAGAATAGACTAATCCAAAACTCACCTGTTGAAGTTGTCTGATGTGTCTATTCTCCTGCTGGATGGAGTGTATCAGTGCACTACGTGGTCGGTTATTAGCTGCCTCATTCAGCTCATTCATCTCCTCACAGTACTGCAAAAGTTACAATGCATCAACTACCTTAAGACAAAACTGCAGTTGAAAGGTGATGATTTTTAAACTGATACGACTCAAACCTAAGAGTCAATACCTTAAAGACAACAGTATGTTTCCTTTTGCTGCGAGATACACGGTGATGCTGAGAAGCTGTCATGACCAGAGGCGTTGCTGCAGGAGTGGTTGATGATGATGATGATGGGCATTGTGCTCCCTGGGATGGATGGGCAGGAGTTCCCCACCCTCGCATGATGGGTTACTTGTGCCACTGGAAGAGCTACCCATACACTCCTCCCTTTTAAATCCAGTTTTTACTAAATTTCAACTCACACTTTCTAAACATCATTCAAATCCTATGTCTTCAAAAACCTGAAATATTGTACTGATCTGTGTAAAAATAATCTTCTTTTTTTTTTAGTAAGTGAAATGAGCAAGCTACTCAAAATGAAGAAAAAACAACACACTAACTGGATGTCTTACTTTTTTATATTAAATATTAATAAGTTTAAGAAAAAAATGAGGTGAGAGAGATACTGTACAGGTATACAGGGTTTCACATAGGCCCCACACCATACTGTACAGGGTGTCTCATAAGTTGTGCACCATACTGCAAAGGGTGTCTCATAGATTGTGCACCATACTAATTATTTTTTTCAGATGATGGAATCATAACAAATCAACAAAGATAGCAGAGAAATTAACACTGAGGAAAAGCTTTATACAATATTTACTTATGGAAAACCAGTTGTTACACACCGATCACCTGCAAAAAATTTAATAAACAATGCTCATATGCCTGGGTATTGTCAATTAAATTATTTTGCAACTGTTTAGCATCTGACTTTCCACACATGACTAATAAGCCAATTCTTTCTGCTGCTGCTAATTTCTCTGCTATCTTCGGTGATCTGTTATGATTCCCTCATCTGAAAAAAGTAAAATGGAAGAGTATTAATTTTCCTTTCATAAGCAACCTATGAAACACCCTGTACAGTAAAGTGCATGACCTATGAGACATCTTCTGCATTACAAAAGAAAAGATAAAGGTCAAAGTAAACAAAGTGCATACTGTATTGGGAAAAGAATAAATGGATGAAAACAAAGAAGCGAGGAGATAAAACAGATATAATACACAAACTAAAGAAAAGAATAATGGAGGTACAATAATGAAAAAATAAATAAAAATAAAAGAGGATGAATGGAAGAATATGGAATACAGGAAGAGACACAGAGTACAGTGCAGGGGGTCCCTGACTTATGAAATCCCACCAATACGAACGGGGTTAAACTTGAAATTTACAGTATATTTTATTTACCCGAAGACTTATTTTTTACTTTCATTTATTGTATTTTGTCATTCTATTTCTTCTTTTGTCTTAAATTAAGTGAGTTTAGACATATATAAGGACTTAGACTATGATATGGTGAGATTTTAAACGTTGTTCTGTAAGTACAGTATGCACATAGCATGTGTTCCGACTTACATACAAATCCGACTTAAGAACGTCCTCAGGAATGGAACCCGTTCGTAACCCGAGGACCCCCTTTAATGGAAAGCTAGACAGTGAACTGAGAAATTAGACAGTGAAACAGGGGAAGAGAAAGAATAAAATAAGGGAAGAGGGAGTTGAAAAAACGAATGATAGGAGAAAGGGGGTAAGAAAAAGAAATACGAGTATATACAGTTTTGCACATATAGATATATACAGCATACACTATACAAATGGTCTTAAAGAACATGGCATCATTTGACAATTTTGCTTAAGAAGCAAATATCAAATTATATTACTCATTAGCACGGTAATGACTGATTGAACATTAAAACAAAAGCGTTAACAATAGCTGGACACATCAGTAGGTACAGCATAATACAGTATAACAGTACAGTATTAAGGAACGTTAAGATCAATCCACGGTCAACAATCAACTGACTTAATCCCTAAAACAACCCCCTCAGCAGGTTCTCCCCCTCCCCCCTTCAATCATTACAGCATGTTTCCCATACCCTTATTAAGTGTGAGGAAAACATGAAGAATCTGTAGATGGTAAAGAAAAGAGAAGATAAACATGGAAGTAGAAGAGGAAGAGGAGATAAAATTAACAATGGGTCCCACAAGCATTACCATTCATTAGGAGGAGCACTGTGGATACAGCACATTGTATAATAAGCATTCTGTGCACAAGGAGGCAGCATGGCCAACACTGCACTTGCCCAACTTCCCTTCTCCAACTATAAAACCAAGTACAAGTACTGTACTCATATACAGCTGGGTAACTAAGATTGCCCCGGGATTGAACCAGTGACCCTTATGACAGGAGTCAAGCCTTGTAACCACTCAGCTGCCACAATCAAAGATGAGATGAAAGGGAAGCTAATTACAGGTGAAGTGGAGGGGGAGGTGTGAGATATAAGGGAGGTGGGGTAGGAGGAGAGAGAGATACAGGGAATGAGTGTTTAAGAATAAAGCCATTAAGCATCATATTGGTAGTACAGGGTTGTATGTATAATACAGTACAGTACTCCTTCTACATGCTGCTGATAATAACAATACAGTGCATGAGGAGTGTAAGCAAGGAGGTCCATGTGATATTATTTAATACTCTACTGTTATTGTTATTATTATTGCAGTATATTTTTATTATATTAATATTATCACATCAGTCATAATAATAATATTAATATTACAGGATATTTTTATTTTTATTATACTAAGCCACACATACTGTACACATGGTCATTTTCATCTACAGTATATTGTACAGTATTTACAAACCACAAAACATTTGTAATATGGCATAGATAATTAATTATGGATCAGAGAGAGAGTGGAGGGAAGAGGGTGCAGGCTCGAGGACGGGAAGTGGAGGGAGAAGGTGAGGGCGTGTGTGCTAGAGCTTGACCAGTCATGAGGATACTAGGTGAAAGTTGCCTCCCTGCTGTCTCTTCCCACCACTACCACCACCCTGATGCCTCCCTCCCTCACTACCACCACCCTGATGCCTGCCTCCCTCCCTCACCACCACCACCACCCTGATGCCTCCCTCCCCTCACTACCACCACCACCCTCATGCCTCCCTCCCTTCCACCACCACCTGATGCCTCCTCCCTACCACCACTGATGCCTCCTCCTCACTACCACCACCTGATGCCTCCCTCCCTCACTACCACCACCCTGATGCCTCCCTTCCCTTGCTACCACCACCTGATGCCTCCCCTCACTACCACCACCACCTGATGCCTCCCTCCTCACTACCACCACCACCCTGATGCCTCTCCCACTACCCACCCTGATGCCTCCTCCCACTACCACCACCCTGATGCCTCCCCCTCACTACCACCACCCTGATGCCTCCCTCTACCACCACCTGATGCCTCCTCCTCACCACCACCACCACCCTGATGACCTCCCACTACCACCACCACCGTGATGCCTCCCTCCCTCACCACCCACCACCCTGATGCCTCCTCCCCTCACTACACCACCACCACCCTGATGCCTCCCTCCTCACTACCACCACCCTGATGCCTCCTCCTCACTACCACCACCACCGTGATGCCTCCTGTGATGCCTCCTCCCTCACTACCACCACCACCTGATGCCTCCCTCCTCACTACCACTACCACCACCCTGATGCCTCCCTCCCTCACTACCACCACCCTGATGCCTGCCTCCCTCCCTCACCACCACCACCACCCTGATGCCTCCCTCCCCTCACTACCACCACCACCCTCATGCCTCCCTCCCTTCCACCACCCTGATGTCTCCCTCCCCTTTACCATTACCTGGTTCCACCACCATCCAGGAGCCTCCCCTCTGTCACCACCATCAGCTACCAAATCTACTCCAGGTACCATCAACAAAACTACTACCATCACCACGACAACTACTACCATCACCACTACAACTACTACCATCACCACTACAACTACTACCATCACCACTACAACTACTACCATCACCACTACAACTACTACCATCCCCACTACAGCTACTACCATTACCACCACAACTACTACCATTACCACCTTAACTACTATCATCACCACCCCAACTATTATTCCACTATCACCAACATAACTACCAACTACTATTATTGTAGACCTTGATTCACTTTCAAATTCTTGCAAGGACTAAAATGGAAACTGATACCTGTACTGGATTGTTTAAAGAAAACAATGGAGACAATACATAATAACACATAATACTGTACGTGATAATTGTATTCTATGCCAGCGAATGTACACAGTTGCCGACCAAGTTCCCTGGACACTTGGCAATATGATAAATTAATCTGTGTGAGTCCATACACGTGGTTGTTTTATAGCTGATGATACACTACTATTTTTTACTATAAGTCATAAAAATAACAACACAACAAAACATTAATGTATATATTATTACACAAAATCTGAGTAATATATCTTAAAATCTCCTAATTCACCTTACCGAAATGCCTCTCACGTAGATGATCAAAAGAGTCGATTTTTATCTATAACAGTGCCTGCTGTTGTCTACGGTGAACAACAGTGTTATCCACTACTTAAAACCACAAATGTTCATACTGTATACTGTACATCCTTCACTATATCAACCAACATCACTCTGATCACACATCAATTTCAACTTCAAACAGCACCTTCATGTTGTACACACTCTTCACCTCACTGTCTTCTTCGTACAACAGTACCATCTCTGTTTCTATGCCACATATTGAACACCAAGTTAACTCCAAATTTCACTAGCACTGCAGCACCAACACCACATAAGTACAAAGTGCACGTGTCAGTCCTCTACTTTATATGCACAAAGTACCAGCACACGTACACCAACTGCATAATATACTGTACTGTTCAAGTAGTTTACAACAAGAAGTACCAGCACAAGTGTACAGTAACACCCACAACTAACATCATCTTCATTGTCATGATAATTTATCACCTCAATAATGATTAAAAACAGCTGGTGTGAACTACCCTATAGTGTTACGAGGATAAT